TTTTAAAAAAAATTTACTTAGAAACAAGATGCTTGGTTTCTACTGGCACCCCCCCCATATAATGATATATTTGCTGTATTACATCCTTTGCTCTGGAATTTGTATCATAAACATCCGATAGTGATTGTCCAGGTTTTTAAATCGCTTAGAATATGTACCCTTTTTATTTCTATTATCAAGATCAGAGTGTTTTCTAAATAATAGCATGTGTAATCTGGATAGCCATCACCAACAACTTTTCGTATTGAGTACTCATAATTTGGAACAAGTTCGTTCAATACCATAAGAATATTCACATTTATGGCTTGACGAACGATTTCCTCATTTGTTACCTTAAATTTTCCAATGAATTGTGGTACTTCGAACCTTGGTTTTTTATTATCAAAATAATGCGCTTTCGCCATATCGAAGAAACCTTTCCATAATAATACCTTTTTCGGTAATTTATCACCTACTTTCGTAGTATTTTTTGAGAAAGTTCCATGAGGAGAATAGGTAATGCGAGGTGGAATATAAGACAACGCATCTTCTAAAGTAATGAGTTCTGGAAAAATAAGTGTATGCATAATTGACTCAGTATTGCAATATCAACTGCTCTAAGAAATCTGTTAAATAATACGCAAGAGGTATAAAATTCAACTATCTTATAACACTATTTCCTACTTATTTGACTTGTCAACTAATCTTATGATTCAAAGTTAGACATTGCTTACCTGAACGCACTTTAGTTTTCCTCTTTTTTGCGGTGGAAGAATTATCCATTTCCATGGTCGCTATTTTTCGCTTTTCTGACGAGTTCGTTATATCGCTTAGGACCTTATTTGCCTTTTTATTATCATATATTATCAAATTATATCAGTATATAGAATAAAGAAATACTTTTCAAGTAAGTGAAAACAGGTAAAATTGGGATCATAATGGTCAGATGCTGAGGTTTTTGTAGCACATAGCATATATAAAGGTACGTAACCGAATCCTCTTCCAAAGTCAGGAGACCTTTATCGAAAACCTATGTTGTCAACCTACTACACTTATCAAGAGCCTTCAAACAATTGTAGCAAACTCATTGGGGACGGAACGCAACGAGAAGCACAAGAGCTTGTAAATAGACACCGAAAAAATGTGCACCTAGTTGACCACTGCACACCCTTTTGGGAACGGAACGCAAACAAGGGGGCAAATCCCTATATTAACCTATTACACTTACCTTTTTCTTTTTTATGAGCTCCTTAACAATTTGATGAACTTCCTCCGTATAATTTGGGTTATTTTCAATATCTTTCAATGCCTTATAAAACGCGTTATGAATATTCCTCTTATTCGTGTTTTCATAATGCGTGGTAATCATTTCAGAAAAATGATCTAACGACCATACTCTTGCTGGGAATATACATGCCGGACAAACGTTTGGGATTTGGGATTTTTTCCATGGACAAACCTGGAAAAATGGGATTGTCCAATCATATCTA